GGGCACGAACCCGTGTCCCCTGAATCGGCAGGCGGACTCTCAACCACTGCGCCACCAGGGAAGCCCCTCAAATACTTCTTATCACCACTGATTACCAGAAGCATTTTGACGCCGTCTCACCCACCCGTCCCTCGGGAATAGAACCCTCTAGTTTCACCCTACAATGTACCTCTCCGGCCTCCTACTGTTTATACCCACCAGGTTTCACCTCAGCTTCTGCTTTAGCGGCGAAAACAGAACCGACAGACCTCGAGGGAGCCTGTGCCTTTAAGGGAAGAGGCGGGACGAGCCCTTGGGGGCGTGTCCTCTGGGCGAGTTGTATAAGGGGCAAGGCCGGCGCCGGACTAGCGGCGGCCGAGCCAGGGCTGCGCGGCTGGGCGGGACTCGGACGCAGCCGCAGGCGGGAATCCCGGGCTCTCGGTTTCAGGAGCAGAAGTTCGGGCGGCTCGGGCCGGTGGGTAGGGACTGAAAAGGCTGCGAAGCCCGGCGGGGTCGAGGTGCGGAGTTTGCTGGTCCGAGGCTCCTCGTAAGGTAAGAGGAACCTCCCCGCCCGCCTGGGCGCCGCGGGAGGACTGGCGCCCGGAGTTCAGCTTCTCAACATCCGCCCGGATTGGGAAACGGAGCACATTGACGTTCCCGTGGTTTGGCACCTAGGAAGTGCAGCCACAAAAGTCATTGCTGCCCCAGTTTCTTGCCCCTGCCCCTTCCTGTCGGGTGTGCAGATCTGAGCGTCTGAACTCCTGACCTCGGACAGGCACAGGTGAAGCGCTCCATAAATGCTCCCTTGTGAATGAGTGCGAGCAATCGGCGGCCAATAAATAGGAGACAGGTGTGCTGAGCCTCAAGTTGGGAACACCTGACGCGCAAGCCCTAATTAAGCCCTTATCGTTTGCTCTGATGCGCCAGCATTTGTCTTCATTTTACAGATGAGGAATCAGAGGCTCAGAGACATGAAGTGACTTCCCCAAGGCCGCACAGCTCGTTCGTGGCTGAGACTGTATTGCAAACCTCGAGTGTCCGGTTCCAAGTCAGTGCCAAGTGCAGTTACAGAGAACAGCAGGAGGGAAGAGCCTGTCGACAGGTGAGGAAAGAGTGCTGAGACAGGCCCTCGTGCCCCCTTTTCTTCCCCCAGAGCCGCGTCCTCCCCCTCCTGCCCCTGCCAGGACATTGAGCAAAGATTTACTGAAAAATGTTGGTAAATCTGGGCTTTGCTGTTTTCTGGGCTTTGCTTTTCCTGAAGGCAAAACAAAACATGCTCACCGACAGCATGTGGAAGAGCCAAAGAAGAAAATTAGTGTGCCGGGGACTTTTTTTTTCCTTTCCAGTTTAATTTCTTTGGAAGAAAAACAAAGCTGGTTTTTCCCTGGTGTTGAGGGAAAAAGACAGATGCTAAAGTCCAGCCCAGCTCTGCTGCTGACAGGCTGTGTGACTTTGAGTAATTCACTTCCTCCTGGGCCTTGATTTCCCCATCAGAGGAGTTATTAGCCTAGGTTTCCATGGAAACACTACTGGGGGTTCAGGAAGAAGGTCTGTCTAATCTGCGTGCTAAATGAGTCAGGCCCATCCGGAATGTGGGCCCCTACCTGGGCTTTCCATTGGTGTGGGGAGGAGGAGGGGCAGTTCTTCAGCTGAAAAAGTTTTCAGTCCCCTCCTCTTGGGTCCTGCAGTCCTCAGTGACACTGTTCGTCTTTCTCACCCCCACCCTACAGGCCACTAGAGGTGCCAGCTGTTTGGAACTGAAACATGACAGAAGGGGAAGTGGAGAGTGAGGGCCAGGCCCCTTGGGCACTGATGGCCAGAGGACTGCTGAATCTGTACTGGGTGCTCAGCTGGCTCTGTGTGCTGCTGATGGTGGAGACAGTGTCGGGGGCCGGGGGCCCATCTGCAGGGACCCGCATTAGCTTCCAGTTTCCAGCCTCGGGTGTGAACCAGAGCCCCGTGGTAGACGTGAGTGTCCAGGCGGGAAACTGGCATCAGGTGGGGGTGTATTCAGCCAGTCAAGTATTTATTGAGCATCTACTGTGTAGCAGGCACTGAGCTAAACCTTGGGATATGCCAGGGCACGTATACTGTAGACAACAATCCCTGCCCTCGTGGAGCCAGCAGTCTCTTAGGAGGGTGGATAAAGAAGTAAGCGTGTAAATTTCAGGTGGTAAGATGCTCCGTGCTCAGCAGATAATAGGATAAAGTGATATTGGGGGTGGGGGTGGGGGCTGTGAGGAAGAAGGAGTATTTCCAACTATTTCAGCTTGGGGGGGGTCACAGATGGCCTCTGTGAGGAAGGGACCTTTGAGCCAAGCCCTGAGTGGAGAAAGGAAGCCACTTATACAGACATCAGAAGGAAGAACATTCCAGGTGGAGAGAAAGGCACGTGCAAAGGCCCTGAAGCAGGGACAAACTTAGTCAGTTTCTGGAGCTGTGAGGAGGCCAGAGTGGCTGGAACAGGGTGAGTGAGGGGGAGAGTGTTAAGAATGGGGATGGAGCTGTAGTGGTGGTCAGATTACAGAAGGCCTTGTAGGCTGAGGCTAGGAGGTGGGATTTGTTTTATGACAGTGGGGAGCCAGTGGAAGGTTTTAAGCAGGGCGATGTCAAGATCTGATTTATTTCTTCAAGGGATGTCTCTGGCTTCTCTGGGGAGAATGGATTGAGAGGGTTGAGGGTGGCAGCGGGGAGAACAGTGGGAAGGCTCCTGCAGCTCGCCAGGTGATGGTGGTAGTGGGAGATAGGAAAGAAGTGGTGGGATTTGGAGCAAGTATTGGAGGCACAACAAGCAGGGTGTGCTGATGGCTTAGACGGAGGGGCATGGTGGTGGAAGAAAGAGAGGCGTCAAGGATGGCTCCAGATTTCTGGCCTTAGCAGTGGGGGCGTGGAGGAGGATGGTAGTGCCACTGACTTGTATGAACGGAGGAAGCAGTGGGGACGCTTGGTGACAGCAAGGAGGCTTCCTCCCGAGGCAGGGAGGTTTGGGCCGTTGAGACAGGCCAAACGGAACTTGCATCATTCTGTTCTGACGTCTGTAAGGGGAGGAGAGGTCACAGTGGATCCAGAGTGGAAATCTGAAGGCAGGAGACTGCTCAAGATGACCCCTGCTGCACGGGGCTGGAGTTCTCTCTTTGTATTCTCTTCGGTGACGGTGACGGAGTAACAAACTCCTCCCCACTTGAACTGACAGCTGAGAGTGCTTAGCGCCCACACCAACTTTCTGGGGCTGCAGAGTACCTTCACGCCCATCATTCGAGGCAGACAGACAGATAATTATGCCTATTTTACAGATGGGCAAGTGATTTGTGGTTACTGTGGTTATAAAATTGCTGCCTCTTGGGGGCAGGAAAACGGGGGTTAACTGTGGCTTGTGTCAGATAATCTCTCTAAGTTATTGAGCACTTGGGCCAGCAATGTGCCTAGCTCATCAAGTCCTGTACCCAAACCCCTGAGATGGGTGTGGTTATCTCTGTGCTATAGGTGAGGACGCTGAGGTTCAGGGAGGGGAAGTTGGCCACGAGGGGAGTAGCAGAGCCAGGATGTGAACTCATGGCTGCCTCATGCTGAATCCAGACCCTTCCCCTCTGGTTCACTTGCCTCCCAGGACTGACACAGGTGGCTGCCCTCCTGGAAGTCCCACCAGCCTCTGGCCGGCTGCTGTCTGGCCAGCTTGCAGGCTGGGAGAGGCCACCGACTCCTCACCTAGGTCCTTTTGCATAGTCACTCGTTCAACAAATATTTATTGAGCACCTATTACGTGCCAGGAACAGTGCCACACGTGAGGGGTAAATCAGGGAGCAGATAAGCCCGGTTCCTGCCCTCGTGGAGCTTATACTCTAGTGGGGGACACAGATGAGAAGCAAGTCCACAGGTAAATCCACAGGATTTCACTGGGGGATGAGGAGAACAAAACAGGGTGGGACGTGATGGAGTGAGATGGAGAGGGGCAGCCGCTTTGCCTTGGGCTGTCAGGGAGGACTTCTCCGAGGACAGAGACCTGAAGCTTTGCAAAGATCTGGGGGAACAGCAAGTGCAAAGGCCCTGAGGCAAGAGCAGAATGACGTGTCACAAACAAACTTTGAGAGGCCTCTGCAACAGTGAGCTGGGGGTGAGGGACGAGAGAGGAGACAGGAGAGGTAATGGAGGCCAGATCGCCTGGGGCTGTGTGGACCGCTGGGCGAAGTTGGCCCGTTCCTAGGGGTAAGACGGGAGCCATGGTAGGATTTAGAACACAGGAGGGACGTGATCTGATTCCAGCTTTTACAGGGATCCCATTGGCTGCTGTGGGAGAATCAACTGTAAGGGCGGAGGCAGAGAGTAGGCTGGCAAAACGATCCGGTGAGATGCTGGTAGCAGCTTTGGGAAGGGGTCCAAATTAAGATGTTTGGAGGGGAAGCAGAAGACAGGGTTCTGTTGGGCCACCCAGTGCCCCACGCCCTAAGCCTGGGCTGGCCCAAGTGTGGCCTCAGAGGGCCAGAGACAGGTTTGGCATCAGACCACCAGGGCCCAGTGGTTCCAGGACACTCCTTTCGGGAAAGAGGAGGGTCTGGAAAAAAATCTCCACTTAGGGCAGATCTGACCGAGGCTGGACATTTGGGGCTGACCCTTGGGGGGGGGCGCGGAGGGGCCCGAGCTAACAGGTGCAGGGAGCTGTTTAGTCTCAGTTTTCCCCTCTGGAAAAAAGAGTAATCAAAGCTCATTTTACTGAGCACTGACTGTGTACCAGGCACTGTTCTAAGCACATGGATTAACTCATTTAATGCTTCATTTCAGGAGTTGGCAAACTTCAGCCCACGGGTCAAATTAGGTCCACGGCTGGGTTTTGTAGTCCAGGAGCTGAGAATGGGTTTTATATTTTCAAATGGTTGAAAAATTTTTTTCAAAGAACACTATTAAGTGACGCATGAAAACTTTGTGAAATTTGAACCTCAGTGTCCATAAGTCCAGTTTTATTGGAATACAGTCATGCCTGTTTACTATTGCAGATGATACTTTCACACGACAAAGCAGAGTGGAATGGTTTCAACAGAGACTGTCTGGCCTGCAGAGCGGAAAATATTTAGCCTTTTATAGAAAGAGTTTGCCGACCCCTGCCTCATTTTATAAAGGAGGGAACTGGGGCACAGAGAAGTTATGTGAGTTGTCCAAAGTCGCACAGCTATGAGTAGGGAAGCAGAATTTGAACCCAGCCTGCATGGTTCCAGAGCCCTGTCCTCATAAGCACTGTACCACCCAGCCTTGCTGAGCAGTTGTCACAAGGCCATGGGGCCTTTGGGAAATGGCAGTGTTCATTTTCTGCTCCTGGGTTGGTGTCCTGGCGAGAGTCCTGTGATTTTTCCACCCCTTTGAAAACTTGCCCTATTGGGGTCCAGCTGCAGGGTTGGGAAAATAGGAGGAGGTGTAGCTACAGGACGTAGGAGAGTGGAATTGTAGCCCCAGGTCACATCTACAGTGCCTCTTTGGGGGGCTGATCAAATGAAGTTAAGAACGTGAGAAGTCTTTGAGAGTTCTTTAGCGTCTGCAGTTAACGGACTCTAGATGAGTGTTTGAGTTTCCTGTTGCTGCTGTAACAAATTATTACAAACATAGTGGCTTAAAACAGCACACATTTGTTATCTGGAGGTCAAAAGCCCAAAATGGGTCTCACTGGACTAAAATCAAGGTGTGGGCAGGACCATGTTCCTTCTGGGGGCTCCAGGGGAAGGCCCATTGCATTGCCCTTTCCAGCTTCTAGAAGCTTCCTGCATTCCTTCCTTATTTTGTGGCCCCTTCCTTCATCTTCGAAGCCACCAGCCTAGCATCTCTCTCAGTCTCTCTCTCTGACTCTCTGACCTATGCCTCCATCACATCTCTTTCTGTCACTCGGACGCTCCCACCTCCCTCTAAAAAAAATCCTTGTGATTACATTTAAAGGCCTCCGGATAATTCTGGACAATCCCCCCATCTCAAGACCCTCAATTTGATCACCCCTGCCAGAGTCCCTTTTGCCATGTAAGGTCGCATATCCACAGGCTCTGAGAATTCCTAACCTGGACATCTTTGGGGACCACTATTCAGCCAGGGAGGATGAACCAGGAGCTTGTGACTCCACATGTCCCTCCCAGCCCCCTCGTCCCCCAAGCCATCCCCGTACTGCCCATGTACCTGCACAAGGAGGTGCCATTGGCTGCAAGTAACAACATTTGGAGAGGGCATCTAGGTAGGGAAAACCTGAGCCCTTTTTTTTTTTTAATCCTACTATAGTTTAATTAATGGTATTGTACCAATGTTAATTTCTTAGTTTTTAAAAATATTTTTATTTATTTATTTTTGGTTGCGTTGGGTCTTTGTTGCTGCGCCTGGGCTTTCTCTAGTTGCGGCGAGCGGGGGCTACTCTTCGTTGCGGTGTGTGGGCTTCTCATTGCAGTGGCTTCTCTTGTTGTGGAACATGGGCTCTAGGCACGTGGGCTTCAGTAGTTGTGGCACACGGGCTCAGTAGTTGTGGCTCGCGGGCTCTAGAGCACAGGCTCAGTAGTTGTGGCGCACGGGCTTAGTTTCTCTGCAGCACGTGGGATCTTCCCGAACCAAGGCTCGAACCTGTGTCCCCTGCATTGGCAGGTGGATTCTTAACCACTGCACCACGAGGGAAGCACCCAAGCCTTTCTTGTTGGGCCCAACTAACAAAATGGAAACGATTTAAAATTGTCCTCTTAATATTGGAGTTGTTTAATTGTTCGGCTTCTTGTTTTTTTCTTTTGTCCTACATTTATGTTTATTAAAAACTGCCACGAACAAACAAGGCCTGTACAAAAAGCAGCCAGGGCATCGATCACTTTAAAGTCATAATCTTGAGAGACACAATTTGCTTAGGACTCCACCATCTTCTGACTGAGCCACGTAGTCTTCCTCTGCCACGTCGTCTTCTTTGTTACTTCGAAATAGTCTTGAGAGATATTATCGCCTAGGACCCCCTCTTCCTCGGCCACGGCCTCTTCCTGCAACAGCTTCCCTTTTCTTAAACTTCACCTTTGGTTCAACATCCACAAGAAATGTATCCAGAGGTAAGCTGGCTGGCAGTGAGAGATATTATCGCCTAGGACCCCCTCTTCCTCGGCCACGGCCTCTTCCTGCAACAGCTTCCCTTTTCTTAAACTTCACCTTTGGTTCAACATCCACAAGAAATGTATCCAGAGGTAAGCTGTCTGGCAGAATAAAATATCGAATGTTATTTCCTCGAATACTCAGTGTTTCCAGCTGTACAGGTTCTCTGTTCTTCAGGGTCATTTTCACAGCTTTAAGATGTGTATTCATGCTGACATCTACACCTGCGATTGTTCCATGGACCTGTGTTCCATTCTTTTAATTCAATGGTTACAGTTCCGTGACTCAATTTCATCAAAAATCTCACGAGCTTCATCCTAGCGGCGCCGTCGCCCTTTCGGTCCAATGGCGAACCTGTTTGGCTTCTTAATGGAGCCAGCGTGGACTTTGATAGTGTGCATTCTGATATTCAGTAATAAAGGGGGTGTGGAGAAGCACTTAACAAAACATATGTGGCACCAAGGTGCCAGCGGCCAGAGTGGGTTTGATAACAGTGCTCTGTAGGTGAGGAAAACAAGGCCCAGACCCTTTAAAGGGGCTGCTGAAGGTCGCCCAGCCAGCCGGTGGCAAAGCTGGGTCTCGGACCCAGGACTGCTTTTCCTCTCAGCTGACCCTGTCTCCCATACCAGTCTTACTGGTATAGGATTGAAAACTGACGGCCCACGGGCTTGTCTAGCTGCTATGATTTTGGATTTGGTTTCAGTGTTTGGGGCAGTGTGGGGAGGGGTTTTCTTTCATTTTATAACTTGGATGCCTTTCAGCAGGGCATGCACGCTCCAGCTCACCACCATTGCCAGCAGCCGCGGTGCTTTTAGACATTTATATAATCTGCCTGGCCCCCAAGGCATTGAGTTTGCAACCCTTTCCTGTCCAGCCTGGCCCTTGAAACTTGTTCACAGAGGGGAAAATATTTGACCCTCTCTGGATTCCCTGGGTGTCCTTAGTGACTCAGGGAAGAGGATGAGAAGGGAATGAGATGGTCTGAAAAGTCACCCACCCCAGACTCAGAGCAATGCTGCTTTAACTCTACCACCCCTGGGCAAAGCTGTGTTCGGGTCCTGATGGGCTTCGAGGGAGGGGATGGCCAGCTTGGGGCACGGGGGCAGGTAGGCTGCAGAGAAATGCGATTCTGGAGACCAGATTTGGGGGACCCGCCTTGCTGACTCACTCTGCTGTCAGGGAGATGGAGACGAGCTGGGCTGGGACCATCTCCCTGTGTCCTCCCTGGCTGACCGTGAAGACCAGGAGGTGGGGAAGAAGGCAGGAAGAGGAGGCTGCCCTTGCCCAGTTGAGCTCTTTCCCCAAGAGCTTCAGCTAGTAACTTTCAGGCAGACCTGAGTTTGAAACCAGCTAGCAGTGGTAGGCTATGTGCCCTGGGCCAAGTCACTTTGCCTCTCTGTGCCTCAGTTTTCTCATCTGTGAAGTGGAAACAATTGTACCAACCTCCTGGGTCTGTTTTTTTTTTTTTTAGAAGATGTTGGGGGTAGGAGTTTATTAATTAATTAATTTACTTTTGCTGTGTTGGGTCTTCGTTTCTGCGTGAGGGCTTTCTCTAGTTGTGGCGAGCGGGGGCCACTCTTCATCGCGCTGTGCGGGCCTCTCACTATCGCGGCCTCTCTTGTTGCGGACCACAGGCTCCAGACGCGCAGGCTCAGTAGTTGTGGCTCACGGGCCTAGTTGCTCCGCGGCTCGTGGTATCCTCCCAGACCAGGACTCGAACCCGTGTCCCCTGCATTAGCAGGCAGACTCCCAACCGCTGCGCCACCAGGGAAGCCCCCTAGGTCTGTTCTGAAGACTGAGTTGGGGTCCAGCACAATGTGTGTCAAAACAATTATGAGGCCATACTGTGTGCAAGACTTTGGTGGGAGGGACAGACATTAAAACAAGTCTGTGATCCTACAAATAACTGGGGATTTCAAAACACGAGAAGTGCTTTGTAAGAGAAGACCGAGGGTGATGGGAGCTTATAACTGGAGGATCTGCCCTACGCTGGGGGTGATCAGGGAAGCCTTCCTGGAAGAAACGTCTAAGAATTGGAGGATGAATGAGTGGTGGTCTTTTGAGGGAGGTGTACCAGGAAGAAGGGACAGTGCATGAAATAGGTACGGTGGGTCAGTGTGGTGTCTGTAGAGAGCCAGTAAGCAAGGGATGAGGAGATGACCTGAGGGCTCAGGGACAAGAAATCTCATCTCCAGTTTGGCATTGGTGGGAGTTCAGAGAAGGCTTGTGGAGGGGGTGGAACTGTGATTTGACAGAGCTTTTTTAAAAAAAAAAATTGTAATACAGCATACATAACCTAAGATTCACCATCTTAACCATTTTTAAGTGTACAGTTCAGGGGCATTAAAAACATTTACGCTGGGCAGCCATCACCACCATCCACCTCCAGAAGTCTCTCATCTTGCAAAACTGAAACTCTCCTCATTAAACAACTCCCCATTTCCCCCTTCCCCGAGCCCCTGGCAGCCACCATTCTGCTTTCTGTCTCTACGAGTTTGACTATTCCAGTTACCTCACATAAGTAGAATTACATACACAGTATTTGTCTCTTTGCAACTGGCTTATTTCACTTAGTATGATGTCTCCAAGGTTCATCCATGTTGTGGCCTGCGTCAGGATTTCCTTCTCTTTTAAGGCTGAGTGACATTCCATCGTGTGGATATGCCACGTTTTGCTTATCCATTCATCCATTGATGGACACTTGGGTTGCTTCTAAACCTTTTGACTGCTGTGACTCATGCTGCCATGAATATGGGTGTGCAAATGTCTCTTTGAGACCTGACTTTCAGTTCTTTTTGACATCACCCAGAAGTAGATTTGCTGGATCATATGGTAATTTGGGGGGTTTTTTCCAGTTTTATTGAGATACAATTGACTTACAGCACTGTATATAAGTTAAGGTGTACAGCATAATGATTTGACTTAACATATATTGTGAAATGATGCCCACGATAAGTTTAGTGAACATCCATCAACTCATAGAGATAGAAAAGAAAGAGGTTTTTTTTTTCCTTGTGATGAGAACACTTAGGAAATACTTTAACAACTTTCATGTATACCATACAGCAGTGTTAACTATAGTTATCACCTTGTACCTTACATCCCTGGTACTGGTTATTGTATTTTTAATTTGGGGTGGGGGGAACTGCCGTGCTGTTTTCCACAGCAGCTGCACCATTTTTACACACACAACAGTTGCACAAGGGTTCCAATTTCTCCCCATCCTCCCTAACACTAGTTATTTTCTGGTTTTGCTCATTTGGTTTGTGTAGTAGCCATCCTAATGGGTGTGAAGTGGTATTGACAAAGCTTTTGAACATAAAGTTTGAGAAGGGGGAGCTTCTAGGCAATGCCTAAGCAAATGCATAACCTCACAAAGGCCTAATATCCATTATATAAAGAGCTTCTATAAATCAATAAGAAGAAGCAAACAATTGAAAAAACTAGCAGTTTAAAGAAGGAATACAAATGGCCATTAACACACGAAAAGAGCACTTCACCATCCTCTGGGACTTGCAGCTTAACAACAGGGAGATTCCTACTACATTGGCTGGAACCAGACTTATGGCAGCCACCCTAACCCTAACCCTAACCTGGTAGAGGTGCAGGTGTAAACTCCTTTCCCATTGCTGGTGAGAGTGTGTCTAAGTAGAGCTTTAGGGAGGGTCTTTTGGCAAAATCCATCAAATGTTTAAGATGTTTCTCCCTCTGCAACAGACACTATCAGGGCCCTGCCCATATCCTTTGGACTCTACCATTTTGGTGGGCTTCTGTGGACTTCGAGTTCCCAGCATCTTTTTTCAGAACCACCCATAAGCATGGTAGGCCAGAAGTGCTGGGGACCTAGCCCCTCCCTCCCTGGCAGTGCTCACCTGATGACTGATAGGAGTTGGTGTATAAATACCCCAGCTCCCTTGCCCTCGGGATTACCAGCCCATGGTGGGAACCATCTCAACCAGCCTTCACTGGTTGCATTTCCGTCCCTGAGTCTCTTCTCCCTCTCGGTGCTTGTGTTCTATACACCTCCCAAATATTCTGCTTACTTAGACATCCTTGTCTCTGGGTCGCTCCTGGAGGAACTCAGACTGGGATACTCTCTGACTCAGCACTTTCACTTCTAGAATTCTCTCTGACAGAATATTTTCACGTGTACTCAGAGTCACGTGCAAGGAAGTTGATTTTGGTAATAATGAAAAAGTAGACACACTCATTGCCCATTAGTAGGGAAACGTTACCTCTACTATGTATCATCCATGATGTGAAATCCTAAGTCTCTACAGTGGCAGGGGTGGGGCGGCGAGGGTGGTAATGGTTAAGGACAGGGATTCTAGAGCCTCAAACTGCCTGGGTTCCAACCCTGTCTCTACCACTGAGTGGGCCCTGGGATATTGTCTTAGTCTCCTTATCTGTATAATGGGTAGGTTAATAGTACCTTCCTCATAAGATCATTGTGCAGATTAATTGAGGTACATTTTAAGCTCTTAGCACTGCACCTGGCATATAGAAATCCCTCAGAATGTTTTGACTTTTATCATCCCCTTCATCATCATGTGCATCAATATATCAATACGTGGCACATACGTGAAGTGGTAAAAGTTAAGTTGCAGAAACGAGCTTGAGGATGGACACATTTCTATGAAATAAACTGTATGCTAGGATGTATGTACAAATATCATTAAACTGAGAAATGTCTGTAAGGGTCTGCTTCAAACTGATCATAGTAGGACATCTGGAGAGAGGTGGGATCATGGAGGGCAGGGATGAGAAGGGAGAATTCAGAAATCTTTATGTATTGTTGCTTTTTGTTTCATTTTAAATACACCTATTCAGGACTTACTTGGGTTAGTTTCAAACACAAGTTTATTTTTAAAAATTAAAGTGTGCAACTGGCACCAGGAGGCCTTGGGAGGCTTAGAGACCAGGATGAAGGAGGTTATCTTCACTGCTTAGGTGGGGCTGGTCCAGTCAACCACAGGGTGTCGGGCCCTGATGTCCCCCCTCCCTTCCCACAGTGTCGAGAAGTGTGTGGCCTGAATGCCTCTAACCGCTGTGATTTCGTCCGCTCCAACCCTGACTGCCGCAGTGAAGGGGGCTACCTGGACTACCTCGAAGGCATCTTCTGCTGCTTCCCACCCGACCTCCTCCCTCTGGCCGTCACTCTCTACGTGAGGCCCCGCTCCGGGGAGCTGGTGAGAGGGGCGGGTGGCCCCAGCGGGACTTAATGCCCTTTTCCCTTTCCGGTCCCGCAACCCAGGCTTTTTGGCTGCTCTACCTGTTTCTGATTCTGGGAGTCACCGCGGCAAAGTTGTGAGTTTGGCCTTGGGCTCATATCCACCTTATACATAGGAAAATGGAATCCTAGGAGGTTGACACTGGGGTGACCCTGGGCTTGGGGGGAAGGATGGGGGCAGGAGCCACTCATTGTGGAAACACTCACTGTTTGCCTTTTCTCCATAGTTTCTGCCCTAACTTGTCAGCCATTTCGACCACACTCAAGCTTTCCCACAATGTGGCAGTATCCTTTGTCCCCGAGGGATGGAGGGCAGTTAGGGCGGGTGGCTGGGAGACAGGGTGGCAGCTCATGGCCAGGAAAGGCCTGTGCAGGCCAGAGCCCCTGCACTGAGGCCCCTTGACACGCTCCCCCCAGGGCGTCACCTTCCTGGCGTTTGGGAACGGGGCACCGGATATCTTCAGCGCCCTGGTGGCCTTCTCAGGTCCGCGCACAGCCGGCCTGGCCTTTGGGGCACTGTTTGGTACGAGAGGCCCCGGCTGGGGTGGGGTGGGGCAGCAGGAGGGGGCGCAGGGTGGACCAAGCTTGGCATCCTCTCCTCCAGGCGCAGGCGTGCTGGTTACCACTGTGGTGGCCGGTGGCATCGCCATCCTGCACCCCTTCACAGCAGCCTCGAGGCCCTTCCTCAGGGACATCATTTTCTACATGGTGGCCGTGTTTCTGATCTTCACTGCACTCTACCGCGGCAGGGTCACGCTGGCATGGGCCCTGGGTGAGCGGCCACAGGACCAGTGCGGGCTCATCCCAGGGCTGATGCCTGGGAGGCATGGGGGCACAGGAGGGAGTGGTCAGCAGGGCACAGAGTCACCTTTGGTTCCAGGTGTTGGAAACCCTACTCAAGATGGCTTGAGCGAAAAAAGGGGACTCGTGGTTCGGATAACCAAAGAGGGCAGGGCAGAGTCGGGGTGATGTTCTGAATTTTTACAATTTCAAATTTTAACAAGCAGTACAGCCAGGATGCTGACTGTGGCCGTCAGGGTCCCGGCAGCATGTCCATTCCATCCAGATGGTTCAAATGACATGAATGGCGGGACAATTTACAGAGGGTTAAGGAAGCCAACAAGGGATGCTGAGATGCAGAGACACTAGGGACCAGCAACAGTGGGAGCCCCTGAAGGGGCAGAGAGTGGGGTGCCTGGAGCCTGCTGAGGGCTACAGGCCCAGACCTGGGACCACCCAACATGAGTGACAGTTATGGAGGGTCACAGTCCCGGCTGGAGACAGGGTACCACAGCAGGGAGGGAGCAGGGAAGGAGTGCCGCAGACCCTCCCCTCCTGCCTTCTGTTTTGCCGTCAGGGCTCCGTGGGTGGGCCCAGGGCAGCCAGAGTTCAGGGGATGCAGTCTGCAGGGCTCAGCCTCCCAGGCCACAGAGCAGGACACCGACCCTTCACACTTGAATTGTGTCCTAGAGGCCACTGTCTGTACCAGGCGTTACACCCACCGTTGACTGCCAGATTGGTGGTGGGGAGGCAGGTGGTGGACTTGGTAGGAAGGGAAGATGGGCCAAGGAGGGCAGGGGAGGGAGCAGGGCTCCAGGAAATGGCCATTTGCCTACTGGTGCTGGGCTGGGCTTACACAGGTAGCCACCACCACCAGGCCCCAGTGACAGAGCTGGCAGCTCTGTTCTCTGGGCCCTGTGGCCAGGCTGCCACTTGGTGACAGCGTGCCCTTGTCTGCAGGTTACCTGGGCTTCTACGTGTTCTACGTGGTCACTGTGGTTCTCTGCACCTGGATCTACCAATGGCAGCGGAGGAGATCCTTGGTCTACTCTGTGCCGGGCACTCCAGGTAAGGTCCGAATGGAGCCCCCAAGGGAGGACCAGTGGGCCTGGTGCCCTCCTTGCCCTTCAGTGCTGCCTTGTGTCTCTTGAGGCCTTTGCCAGTGCCCATCTCCTACGTTTTCTACTCATTCGACCAGGGTCCCACCTCTGCACTTTTGCTTGTGCTGGTGAAGCCTCCTCATCACCTGCTTGTCCAAGTTCACTAGTCCTTCATGCTGCTGCTTGTTGCCAGGGCACATCTTCGTAAAAGCTGTCACCGCTCGCATCCAGGAATGCGCCCCCTACCGTCGGGGTAAAATCCAGATGCTTCCATATGCGCAAATACTTGCACACACGTATCCGCAAACACACACATCCACAAATACACATACAACACGCACATACACAACATATACATATATAAACACACATTCACAAATAACATACACAGCCCACACATATATACAAATAACGCGCATAGCACACCCTCCCAAATACACACACATACAATATATATACATACATGCTACATACATGTACACAAATACATGCACGACACACATACTCAAATACATGTACCACACACATGCAAATACATGCGCACACATATCCACAAACACACATCTACATCCACAAATACATATACTACACAAATATACACACACAAATACACATATGTGCATATATGGCATACACAACACATCTATAAATACACATGCACAAATACATATACACATAGTCCACACATGTACACAAGTTCATATATAAACATGCACACACATATACAAAGGACACACATATACAAATATATACACAGCGTACACATACAACACACAAATACAAAATGCACATATATACAATTTATTGAGTAAATTATCAATAATTGTCAATAATTATTAAATCATCAAATTCATTCTTTTCAGTAAGACTGTAAGATAGGGCCTATTGTATTATCGTCTTTTTGGGTGAGGAAACAGGGAAGTCAAATTCTTCCCAGGCCATAGGTACTGGAGAGGGGCAGAGCCAGGACTTGACCCTTGTTCCCCAGACCCCAAAAGCCATCCCCCTACCCACAATGCCAGAGGCCACAATTGGGAACCTACAGAGCACCTTTTCTGTACAGAAGTGTTGTTTTTTAATGGTGTGACCAGTGTGTTCTTTTAAAAAACATTAGGCCAAGATTTAAAATGAAAAGATTTTGTTTTAATTTTTAAAATATTTATTTATTTTATTTATTTTGGCTGTGCTGGCTCTTAGATGCAGCATGCAGGCTTCTTAGCTGCGGCATACACACTTTTTTTTTTTTCATACGCACTCTTAATTATGGCATGCGAACTCTTAGTGGCGGCATGCAGGATCTAGTTCCCAGCCCAGGAATCGAACCCAGGGCCCCTGCATTGGGAGCGTGGAGTCTTACCTACTGGACCACCAGGGAAGTCCTTAAAGTGAAAAGACTTGATATAAATTGTGACTTCTCTTGAAACATGAGACCATCTGGTCCTCCATCCCTGCCTGGCACAATGCCTAGAACTGAATGGGGCTTCCCCCTTAGGACAAGGTGTGGGTCCCCAGTTTGCCCCAGTCCCCACCACTCTGTCGTCAGCCCCAACACGTGGAGGTGGGTTGATTGCAGACCTGATTGGAAAACCAGAATTCCGCCACTCAGCCTGTTTCACTTGGTCCCATGATGTGCTTGGTCCCTTTCAGCGTGTGAGCCTGAGAACCTTGCACTTGATCTGCTGCCATTTGTGCTGGGCCTCAGCTTTCTTCTCCAGACTCATTTCATACCCCAAACTCCATGCCCAGCTGTGCAGGGCTACCCCCGTGTCCCTGAAGACGCTATGCTCCGTCTGGCTGTCTCTGGGCCTTTGCGTGTGCTGTCCCCTCTCCCTGGTGTGCCCTTCTTCTGAAAGACTTAAGGACTCAGCCTGGAGGGAGCTCTGCAGAGACCCCCAGGTGTCCATTCTGGGCTTGTACAGCTTTCAGACTCTCCCCAGCACAGCCTTTATTTCTCCATTCTGTTATTATTTGCTTGTATTTCCGTCTGTTGGACTGTGAGCTTCCAGAGGGCCAGACTCTATCTCATTACCTCTCAAATCCCTGGGGCCCTGACACAGGTGCTGGTGACTCCTCCTACAGGAAGTCTACCATGATTTTTCCTCTTCTGCCCTCTTTATCAACTGAGCCTTCAGAGTTCAGCACATATTACCCTGTTCTGTCTTTTAAACCCATCATAGGCCTCCAGGCTGGAACAGAAGGGGGAAATGAGGCCTGGAGAAGGGCCCAAAGTCACACAGAGGCAGAATCAGGACTAGCACTCCTCACTTGAGAAAGGCCCTTTTCCTTTTAGGCAGCCCTGCTTTACAGGGCTCAGTCCTCTAATCATTCCCAAGGACTCCCAAGAAAAGTTGCAACTGGAAAAGAAAAATATGATGGGTTCCAAATTCTGAAAGGTACAAAATTGAAGTCAGTAGATGTTTCAATTATGTCTTCAGACACCCTTATTCAATTTAGCATTATGGCTGCCTCATTACATTTGAAAATGGTTTGTGAGTTAGACTTCCTCAATCTGTAAGAATTCCTGAGCGTGCAGGGTGATTGCTGAGAAATCCAAAATACAGAGGGCCTGGACACTTGCACCCTGAAAACTGTCCTGTCCCAGAGGTGCTCTACCCTAGAACAGTGGTGGGAGGGTCTGGGCGCCCCAGCTGGCTCACAGGAAACTCCCCTCTCTCCTACAGAGATGCTCTCAGGTTCTGAGGAGGATCGGGTGTCTTCTAATACCAACAGCTATGACTACAGTGAGTCCAGTGCCCTGTGCCTGGCTGGGATGGAGAGGTGGGGAGATGGGGCCATCCAGGCCCCACCTCGGCTAAGCTCTGGGCCAGGTTTGCCTGCACCCCTACCAGGCCCTGGGCTTTTCCTTCTTCCCAAGGGTTGGGGGGACTGGTGGGAGGGGGAGGGAAGAGGGTTTCCCGGAGGCTGAGCCAGCCATGGACAGCTGCCCCTCCCACCTTGCACCCCCAGGTGAGGAGTACCGGCCACTGCTCTTCTGCCAGGAGACCACGGCTCAGATCCTGTTGCAGGCCCTCAACCCCCTGAATTACAGGAAGTGGAGGACCAAGCCGGTGTACTGGAGGGCCCTCAAGGTGTTCAAGGTAAGGGGGGGACTCTGAGCCAGGCTCCTGGCTTCATGACAGCACAGGACAGTTGCCCCTCAACCTCCTCCAGAGCAATGAGGGGAGGGTCGGCCTCTGCTGAGGACTTGATGGGGAAATAGATGAGCTGGGACTTGATGGGGAAACTGAGTCATGGAGCATAGCTGGGGCTCTGCGCCCCATGGAGGAATGAGAGCATCTTCTCAGGGACAGAGAGACAGGAGATGGGGACCCCTCCTGACCAGGTGAGGGCAGGGAACTGGGACGGGGAGGGAGTGGGTCATAGTGAGTCCAAATGAGGCCGAGATTGCTCTCCTCTGATCCCCACTGCTTCCCTGACCTAAATGTCTCCTGAGGTCTCGATGTGGGCAGGGGTATCCAGGCTGGTTTACACGAGGCACAACTGCAGCTGCCTTCCACCACCCAGACCGAAAAAGTCAGGGGTCTCACCTCACAGCCCTCCAACGTGGATACCTCTTAGGCCTTCTCAGACCCAGGGGGTAGATAATGAACTATATTTATACCTCACAGTGGCTCTGGCTACATCATGACCTTGGGCAAGTCACTTCATCTCTCTGAGCTGCAGTTTTCTCCACTGAAAAATGGGGATAATGACAGTACCTTTCTTCTGGAGTGGTTGTATTAGTAAGTTATTGCTGCAACAGTGCTGTGTAACAAACAACCCCCCAACATCTCATTAACTTATGATGACAGTATTCTTGTTCAAGAGCCTATAAGTCATCTAGGGTGACTCTGGTTGGTGGTTCAGGTCTGCCCCCCATCTCATTCTGGGGCCAGTGGGATTGTGCTCTTTTCTTGGCAGAAAAGACCGAGGCAAACTCTCCAAGCACATTTTAAGCCTCTGTTCACATCACATTCACCAACAGCCTGTTGGCCAAAGCAAGTGACATGGCCAAATTCAACATCAGTGGGACAGGGAAATATATTCTGCAGACTCTAGTCATTTGACAAAGTGTGGGAGTGTTTAATTCTGTTACGGGAAGGGACTGAAGAGTTGGGAACCATATCCAGCCTACTACAGTGATTGTGACCATTTAATGAACTAATATATGTAAAGGGCTGACTCTGGTGCTTAGCATATAGTAAGCACTCCCTAAGTGTTATCAGTGGTTTAGTTACCGGCTGAAAACACAAGGTATGGGGTTAGTCAGAGCTGCCCCTCTATTCTGGTTTCATATACCCTTCTGTGTGGCTTTGGCAAAGTTTCTTAACCTCTCTGAGCCTCAGTTTCTTTATCTGAAAGGTAGGAAAATTAGACTTCCTATTCACAGCGTTGTCAGGATTAGCAGTTGGGGTGCTGTACTAGCCCTCGGTGTGTGGCAACGTGTTACAGCAGCAGTAGGAGGCTAATCCAGGCAGTTGGGGGCCTGCACACGGTGGGTGCTCTATTAGCAACAGCCTTGTTCTTGAGTAACTGAGCTCAGGGTGGGGCCAGCCGAGCACAGGCCTCACTGCCTTCCCACACTTGACAGCTGCCCGTGGAGTTCCTGCTGCTCCTCACTGTTCCCGTCATGGACCCCGACAAGGAGGATGGGAACTGGAAACGGCCCCTCAACTGCCTGCACCTGGTCATCAGCCCCCTGTTCTTGGTCCTGACCCTGCAGTCGGGGGCCTGTGAGTATCCCCTCCCTAGGCCAGCCCACTTCCCTCTCCCCCACATTCCCGAGTTTTCTTCTCAGCCACACCAGGGGACCCTGGGCCAGAGGGGCAGTCCTGGCACTTAATGTGTGCTTGTGCCATGAAGGCCACCAGCCCCCCGCAGTCTCTTGGTCCAGGCCCGCTGGCTGCACATGGAGACTGGACACTGGTGGCCCCCGGACCAAGACCAGCCCTCTGGCTTGTCCCCTTGCCTTACACAATTTGCAGGCTTCACGTCAAAATCCAGGCCTGGGCTTCTCAAGAAGGTCTGGGCCACATTCCTAAAAGCAAAATTGGCTGGAGCTGAGCAGAGGGGCATCCCCACACACACACAACACAGGTGCCCACTGAGTGATTCCTCACAGGTCCCTCCATTGCCTACTGGGTGACCCGGGTGGGTTACTTCACTCGTTTGTGTGACCTGGCCGGTCCCCACTGGCACTGAGTCTTCCCCCGCCTGCCCCAGGCTTTCCTTTTCTGACCTGTTCTGGCTAAAGCAACACCCAGTCTTGTCGGGTGTCTTCTAACTCCCGTTACCTAGGTTCTTCCTGTTGTCTGACCTTAGTATCTCATGCTGCCCATTCCTCTCTCTGTCATCTGGGCTCCTGCCCCTCAACCCAGGGGCATCTCCTGGAGTGGAGGTAGGGCTCTGGTAGCAAATGCATGGCTGGCTGTGGCTTTTTTGCTAAAGAGTGTCCGGATGAAAAGGCTGCCAAATTCTCTGTGTTTCTCCTCCATTTTATGGGAGGACACGGGCACTGAGGGAAGGAGCGTCCATCAGGACACAGTGTGGCCCCAGAGCTGGGAAGGGCGCCCCCTACGGGTACCAGCTGTCTGGTTCATTATGGCCGGCCTCTCCAGCCTGCAGGCTGGCTTCCCCATCCTTGTGGCTTCTTAAAAGAGGGGCTCCCAAGCGTTAGTCATTCAGGAACGATCTTGATTTTTCTCTCACTCTAAACTGTTATATCTGATACTTAAATCAGCTTTTTTTTTTTTATTGGAAAGGAGTCTGTATCACCTGCATCAGTAGGAAACTGGCATCATTTCCAATGCATTTAAGGTATTTAAATTTGTTAGAGTGAGAGAATTGAAGAAGGAATCCGTTTCCTGAGATGTGATTCTATGATATTTAGTGTCTTGTCCACCTGCCCCACCACCATCTAGTGGTAGCTGGTCCAGGCTAATGCATTTGTGACGCCGCTTGTGGGCCGAGCGCTGGATGGAACCCCCAGACTGTGGGAGTAGCGCAGTTATGCATGATGTACACAGCAGTTTATGGTAAAAATGGGTCATTTTAATACACAGTGCTCAATAATCTTGTAAATGTCCCCCTCAAAAATGTCAGGGAACAGTTCAAGTAGAATTTCAGCTTTGGGTGCTGATGGTGGAGCTGAAGCTTCCTCCCTGAGTCTTAGGGAGATGTGTTGTCCTTCTTTTCTGGTTTACAAGACCAGGGTAATGAAATATACTACAAAGACTCTTCATTTTAGGAGATTATTTTCAATGATGCCGATTACTGGTATTAATACTAGAATTAGAAGTATAAAATAGATGCTAGCTTTCCAATGATGTCGAAGGGGTGTTCTACAGGCCGTCCTCCAGTTCGTGTTAGTGCTAATAGGTCTGCCACTAGTACTCAGTACAGACACTGACTAAGAGGTTGGAATGTTATGCTTCGTTGCTTGGATATGTGGAGTATTGGGATAAATGCTAGGATTAAGATTGAAATGACGAGGGCTGGGACTCCTAATTTGTTGGGGATTGATCGTAGGATTGCCTATGCGAATAGGAAATACCATTCTGGTTTAATGTGTGGTGGTGTGTTGAGGGGGTTTGCTGGGGTCTCCTAGTAAGTTGGGTGAAAATAAAACGAATATTAGTAATGCTAGAACTAGTAGTAAGGCACCTAAGATGTCTCTAATTGTATAGTAGGGGTGACATGGAATGTTATCTATGTTGGATGAAATTCCTGTGGGATTATCAGGTCCTGTTTCGTGAAGGAATAGCAGGTGGACAGCTGCTAGTGCTGTGATGATAAATGGGAGGATGAAATGGAAGGCAAAGACTCGTGAGAGAGTTGCCTTATCTACAGAAAAGCCGCCTCATTCATTCGACACGTTTTGTCGAATGTATGGGATTGCTGAAAGAAGGTTGGTAATGACTTCTCCGCCTCAGAATGATACTTGTCCTCATGGTAATACATAGCCTATGAATGCAGTGGCTGTAACTGTGAATAGCAGAATAATTCCAATATTTCATGTTTCTAGGAAAGTATAGGACCCATAATATAGGCCATGTCCTCCGTGAATAAATAGGCAAATACAGAATATGGAAGCTCCATTTGCAGGTATATACCGAATGATTCATCCATAATTTACGTCTCGGCAGATGTGTGTCACTGATGAGAAAGTGGTTATTGTGTCTGATGTATAGTGTATTGCTAGGAACAAGCCTATCAGGATTTGTAAAATTAAATACCTACTAGAGAACCAAAATTTTATCATGATGAAATGTTTGATGGGGCTGGAAGATCAATAAGTGTGTTGATAATTTTTATTAATGGGTGTGATTTTCAGATGTTGGTCATTAGTGTTCTTACAGTTGAATAACAACGATGATTTTTCATGTCATTGGACGTGGTTAGATTCCATGTAAGAATAATGATAACATACCTTTATTTTGAGTACTATTTTTGTAATTAGTTTCGTGGGGTGTTCTTCAAAACTTTCACCTATTTATGGAGGACTTGGGTTGATTGTGGTGGTGTTGGTTTTGGAATTCTGTTGAATTTTGGTGGTTCATTTTTAGGTTTGATGCTATTTTTGATTTATCTAGGGGGAATACTGGTATTATTTGGTTATACAGTGGCTGCGGCTACTGACCCTGAAATTTGGTTTCTTTTTTTAAACTATTTTTATTTATTTATTTTTTATAAATTTATTTATTTATGGCTGCGTTGGGTCTTCCTTGAGGTGCGCGGGCTTCTCATTGCGGTGGCTTCTCCTGTTGCAGAGCGTGGGCTCTAGGCGCGCAGGCTTCAGTAGTTGTGGCTTACGGGCTCTAGAGTGCAGGCTCAGTAATTGTGGCACACGGACTTAGTTGCTCTGCGGCATGTGGGATCTTCCCGGACCGGGCCATGAACCCGTGTCCCCTGCAGGCGGATTCTTAACCACTGCGCCACCAGGGAAGTCCCGAAGTTTGGGTTTCTAATAAGACTGTTTTAGGAATACTTCTCTCAGGACTGATTGTAGAATTTTCAACAGTGCTATATGTTTTAAAAGACGAAGAGGTGGAAGTTTATTTAAGTTCAATGGACTAGGAGATTGGGTTATTTATGATACAGGTGATTCTGGCTTTTTTTAGTGAGGAAGCCATAGGAATTGCAACGTTATATAGTTTTGGTACTTGATGGGTGATTGTTACTGGTTGAGTACTGCTTATCGGTGTTGTGGTTATTATGGAGTTTGCTCGTGGTAATTAAATAAAATTATGCTTAGAGTAAGGGTAATGAGGAATGATAGGAAATATAGTTTGATTAGACCTTTTTGGTCTGAATCTAGTGTAGAGAATTTTAATTGAATAAGGGAAGTGGTTTTTGGTAAAACTCTAGTCAGATTAAGTCTAGGAGAGAAGATGCTGATTTTTGGCTTGTTGATAGATTTCACTAGGGTGGTAGGCGGTGTATGATAGTGGGAAAATACCCTACAAGTTTGGAGAATTTGAAGGTGCTTGAGGGGTAATTAAATTTTAAGTTTTGTGTAGTAAGATTAATTTCACGTGCTAAAGTTAAAGCCTAGGACAGTCACTGTGAGGGCAGTTAATTTTAGGTAGAACGGTATGGTTATTAGGAGAACTGAATGTTGCTGGAGATAATAAATCTGGCAAAAATGCTTCCAGTTAATAAGCATTTAATAGAATTAATCAGGAGCGGGTTATTTTCATTGATTAAAGTTAAGGCAGAGAATCAAGGGTAGAGATAGAGAGCTCTGCCTCGGGGGATGCCGTGTCCACCAGCCAAGCCTCCCAATCTCACTGCCAACCTCCATCCTCCCTCTCTAGGCCACCCCCAGAGCCATCTTTCTAAAGTGCCGCTCTTCACATGTTGTGGTCACTCCTCCACTCTAAGACCTCCATGGCTCCCCCGTGCCTCTTGGAAAAAGCCCGTGTCCTCCAACTATCATTCAAGGCCTCTGAGACCCTGAGCCAACCACCTTCTCCAGGCCTTTTTCTGCTACTGATGACACGAACTTGCTCAGTTCCTTCCCACCCATCTCTTCCCTCTTCCTGTAGAACCCTTGTGCCCCTCTCTGCTTATGACTCAGCTCACATCCTCAGCATGCCAAGAAGTCCTTCCTGACTACCCCATGCTCCAGTCACCTCCTGAAATTCCTCTAACGCAGGACTGGGAAATACAGAGAAAGGACCTCTCACCCAGGCGTCAGGTTCCAAAGCCAGCTCTATAAGTAAAAGTCACATCCGTCAAAATTACCCCCTGAAAATCTCCCACAGTGTATTGTGCACAAAATTTTATATATTCAGCCCCCTCGTGTAATCCTTATGCCCACTGATGTTTGCGAGCCCATGAGCTAGACTAAAGAAAGAACAAAAGGAAAATCTTGTTACATGTGCCTGGGCAGTTGAACCATCCATTGTCTTTGAGACTAGTGGTGAAAGGATGGTATGTGGAGAATTCTAGAGTGTTCTGCCTGCCTGCAGGGTTTCCTCCCTTCGGTGTTTTTATATGAAGCCTCTGGAACCTTCGTAACTTTATAATGGATTGGTTTGTGGAGTATAGACTTCTCAAGAGAGCCAGGATCAGTGGCTAAGGTTGTATTTGACTGTACAGTTCATCTCATGGAGCGATGCCCATCCATTGGTAATGCCTGGTTGGAGGGTGCTGTCTTGAAGCTCAGTTGGACCAAAGCATCATGGTTGATTAGTGATGTCTGCCATGGGCACGGGAAAGGGTAGTGGTAGTGAGTAGTCTTAGCTATTCCCATCCTAGCTCCACAACAGAAGGCTGGAGAGTGTTTTTCATGTGTCTGTTTTTTCTTTCCAATGTGAGTAGCTTGTGGGCAGGGGCTGTGTCTTTAATTTCTCTGTCTCCCTGAAGTGTCTAGGACAGGGCTGGGCACACATAGGAGGTATCTACCCTATATCCAAACAATCGAATTTTATCTGTGGGTTTTATCCATGGGTCTCCCCTCCACAGCATCTCAGTCATTCTTAGGGGGCTTCCAGGAGGAGGCGCCAAGTTGAAGCCACGGAGAGTGCCAGCTCCCTTTCTTGTCCCTCTGCAGATGGCGTCTATGAGATAGGTGGCCTCTTTCCTGTCTGGGCCGTGGTGGTGATCGCAGGCACAGCCTTGGCTGCAGTGACCTTTTTTGCCACATCCAACAGTGAGCCCCCCAGGCTTCACTGGGTAAGAAACTTAGACTCTCCAAGCTGGGAGAGGGGTCACTGAGGTCTCCTGGGCAGATGTTCTGGGACAATTTGGCCGCTCATCATTTTCCACCATGACAGGTCTTTACAGCCACTTTTAAGGAGTTTTGTGCCTGTTCAGGATCCACTTCATTTGGTAACAGCTTTATTTTATTGTGCTGTAATTCATACACCATACAAGTCACCTGTTTGAGGTATACAATTTAATGGTGTTCATTATATTCGGAGAGTTGTGCAACCATCACCACAATTTGAGAGCATTTTCATCACCCCAAAAAGAAACCCTGTTCCCAGTAGCCATCACTCCCCATCCTCCCCACCATCCCCTGGCCACCACGAGTCTGTCTGCCTCTCTAGATTTTCCTATTCTGTATATTTCACATACATGGAATCATACAATATGTGGTCTTTTATGACTGCCCTCTT